TGTCATCCTCATTCTTACCTTCATGTCATCCTCATTCTTACCTTCATTAATTAAAGAATAAAATGTTGAGATTAAATCAGTGAAAAACAAAACAACAAATAAACAAATAAGCTCTGATTGGAGGTAGTTTTATGTTTGAGTTTCATGTAAAAGACACACTGACAAAACTGATTCCTAAAGAGTTAATAAAGTGCATATGTGTGTGTGTGTGTGTGTGTGTGTGGGGGGGTAACTAACTAAATAGCTTGTGAAAAGGATATCATTTAATATGTTTTTGCACATGGCTAAAAGCATTATGTTTGTTTGTTTTTCCACAGGTTCACATCTTAGGAGTTGGTTTGGCCGTGCACGAGAAGTTGGTGCATCCAGAAATGCGTCCCCTGCACAAGAAGCTGATCGATCAGTTCCAGATGATGAGGAGCAGCCTCTGCCATGTGAGTGGAGAATAACATTTTATTATTATTATTATTATTATTATTATTATAAAGTATTGGGAAAGGTTTCACCAAAGCTGTTCAAGAAATATTTGTTTTTTTTTTATGAGTCTAAATGTGAAGAATTCAAATTAAACCATCCGTGCAGCCAGATGAGGGAAATGTTTTAAACATTCAGGAAGTGTGATCAGATTAATTAGTGAGTTCATAAAGAGGAGGTTCTCCTGCCTGAAGCTCTGAATTTAAACTCGTTCAACTCTGAACATTTCCTCTCTTGAATATGTAAATGAGTCCTCCAGGCGTTTCTGTTCCAGATGTGCAGACGTCTTAAAAACAATAGATGTGTGTGTAGTTGTTGTGTCTCATTACAGAGCGTGTGTTTGTGTGTGAGCAGTGTGAATATTCAGAGCAGTGCTTCTATGTTGCGCTTCAGGGTCCACCTGGCTTTGACAAGTCCGGTTCAGGAGCCAACACCCCCCGAGGGATCCTGGCCTCCCACAGCCCCATGAGCCCCGAGAGCTTCAAACTCGTGCACCGACACAGGTCAGCAACACACACACACACGTTTCATATTTTCTTTATTCACAAGTATTTAGCGCTGTGAGATTGTTCTGTTTCTGCCACGTTCATCACACGAACACGTTGACACATCATCCACGATGCTGCCGGTCAACAAAGTTGAATTTTTATCAGAATCTTTGGAAGATTTTGAAAAGTCATAGAGTTCATTCACAAAGCCAAAGGACAAATTTATCAAAAGCTGATGCTTTCCAAAACATAAACAAGTGAAAGGTTTCATTTTTCTGTACTGAACCTTCAGAATGTGTCATGGATTGGGTTTTTGGATTCAAAATATAGCCAGACAACAAGACTGTAAGACAAACCAAACAAGAAACTATTTTAATTGACTTGCAGCTGCAGGGCAGAGCTGTGGTCAGAGGGGTCGAGGTCGGGGTCAGGCACAGGGGTTCAGAAATCCAAAGACAAATCCAAAAGGGAAAGCCGTAATTCGAGGTCCGTGCTCCAGAAGGAGTAATCAGCAACAGGGTCAGAACAGCAAGATGAGAGCAGGCAGAGAGCAGACAGAGAGCAGGCAGAGAGCAGGCAGAAAGCAGACAGAGAGCAGACAGAGAGCAGACAGAGAGCAGACAGAGAGCAGACAGAGAGCAGGCAGAGAGCAGACAGAGAGCAGACAGAGAGCAGGCAGAGAGCAGGCAGAGAGCAGACAGAGAGCAGACAGAGAGCAGAAAGAACGGTAAATCCACAAGACGAGGCGTGAGGTCAAATTTAAAGAACAAGGCGTGAACATGAAACTTGATGGCTGGATAACAGGCTCCAAGAAGGTCTGATAATCTGGCAGATTGGAGTGGTGAGACGAGTCCTTCAACATGGATCAGAACAGGTGCAGTGAATCAGGGCTGATGATCTGAAGTGCAGAGTGGGCGTGGCTAAGTGACAGAGCAGCAGATCATGGCATGAAGAGGCAGAAACATGACAGTGATGGAAACTGTTCTTAATGTGTATAAGTTCTGACTCTTTGTTTTATATGTTGGAGCACATTTACTTTCATAGCAGCAGAAACAGACTGTTGAGTGTTTAATACTTGAATCTAGGTCATGTTAACTTATGAAGGATAATAATGAGAGATGGAAAATATATTTACAAACCATTTTAGTCCAAACGAGAAAGAAGGAAATTACTAATCAGTCCTGTTAGACTAAAGTACTTGTCCTGATCGTCTTAAAACGTCCCAACTTTTATGGAGCTATGTTCAAAGTTGCAGCTGAAAAGTGAAAAATATTTTAGTTTTGAAACTTGAAAAGGCCGGAATGATCAGTTTGATGTGAACAAATTATCTTATCATAGTATCGGTTCAGTCAGGGGAAGAGTGGAGCTGGAAATGAATGAGAGCTGATGAGAGATGAAACCTGTGCTCATGTAAAAGTTTATGCTGCTTCCTAAAATAACTCAGAGCTGCAGTTTAAGGGTAACGTTTGCAGGCATAAGCAGCAACAAAGACTTCATCTAGAGGCGTCAGAAGCTGTGAGGACACCACGGTATTCTTAGATTTTAGCATTCATCTTGTTAAAAACAACTGTATGAGATGACTCTGGAGATCTAAACCTGGGTTTATGTGCACACAAAGCTTGGCCTGCAGTTCAAATGTAATATAACATGTTGTTTAAGTAGCAGACAGTAATCAGCAGGTATGGTTGTACACAGAATAAAGAAATGTATTGTACAGCTCTGAGTCTAGATGAAAGTTTTAACTTTAAAGTGATGAGAAACCCTCTTAGACCTCATCGTCTCCTGTTTCTCTCTGATTTCTGCGGCTGTTTCTCGTTCAGGATCTTTGATATTTTCTTCATTGCTTCTCTGTTATCTGCTCACATCTCACTTTCTGTAACTACCGTGTTCTGTTTCTCTCCATCTTCTGCTCCTAATCAACACCAAACTATATTTGGCTCCTTGCATGATCTGGGCTGCTGGTTGTTCTCATCACCTTGCATGCATTACTGGTCTTTATTTTTGGTATTTTTCCACATTGTTTGCACTGCACTGCACAACTCCTCCCTTCTTGGTCCATTCTTCTCCCTGCCTACCAATCCTCCTTTTCTTTTGCACTTTTATGTCCAACTCCATCCTTTCTCATTCCCTCTTCTTTCTACCCTTAACTTTCCCACGTTTGTGTTTTTCTTCTTTAATTTTTGTTACTTTCTCCCAGTCCCATTGCTGTTTTGACTCCAGTTCGCGTTTCCTCCCCTTCTCTTTCCTCTCTAAACTCCAGTGAGAGTGGAAATCTGCTCATCCTGGCTGATGGGATGGTGGTGGAGCACCCCGAGGACTTCTACCGCATGCAGGTCAGCTTTCAGGGAAACAAAGTCTGTTCACCCATGGGGTACCTTTCTTTCCAAAAAAACAGAAAATGTGTCTATTTTATTTAAGTTTTTCTGATTACAATATTATTATTTAATGTTTTTCATCCAAAAACAATGAAGTGAAGTTTTTTGTGTTTTTATTCAACATCGTAAAAATAGCTGTTGTCAGACTTTTAGTTCAAGTCAATCAATAAAGATTTCATCATTTATTTAGTTAATATAGCACATACAACTTTATACTGCATTTATTTTATGAATGGTGCAAAGTATGTGCGTATATCGAACCTTTCTCATTGCAGGCAAGCCCCTCCTCCTCCAGTCTAAGCTCCACCCACTCAGCCCCCTCTCAGATGATAAACTCCACCCCCTCCACTATGAGAGGTGAGCCGCTCCTACGTGGGAATTATTTTATCATACACATGATGTGGAGGGTTTTCAAGCGTCTCTGTATTTCTTCGGACTAACGTTAAGTTTGTGTCCGTGCGCAGTGGGCTCTCCTTCTCTGCCTGACAAGTACAGACACAACAGAGAAATGCTGATGCTGCTGCCGCCGCACAGGGAGAGACCGAGCAGTGCCATGTACTCCAACATCACTGAGAATGGACAGGTACGGAGGCTGCATGCTTTTAAATGTTCAAGTTTTGATTTAAAGCTTACTTGTGGCACAGTCTGATCTAAAACAGAAGCAGTAGTGTGATGGACACTGGTGGTTCTAACTATGGGCCGTTCGGCGCCGAAGCTTTGAAGCATGTATACGTTTCAGAAACACCGTGTCCTAGTTTGATTTGTTTGGCAAAAGTAACGTGATGGATGTCAGAAGCTCTGAAACCATTGAAGCTCTGAAGTCACTGCTTTGGTACCCGACCCAAAGGTTTATTGTCAGAATTTGTGTTTTGATGGTAAATTTTCTTTAAAAATAGCAAACCAATGAGTGACATAAGCAGCCTTATGTGTCTAGTTTACCACTTTATAAGCACTTCTACCTCAAGGAAAAAAATACTTTTAGAAAACACTATAGGTACACAAGTTACTATATTTATTTAACCAGGCAAATCCCATTGAGATCACATATCTCTTTTGCAAGGGCGGCCTGGGCCTGAAGGCAGACTAACATGCTTATTGTGTAGTGGGAGGAAACCGGAGTACCTGGAGAAAACCCACGCAAACACAAGAACATACAAACTCCACACAGAAAGACCCCCATGTCCAAACTGGGGGTTGAACTCAGGTCCCCGTGAGGCAACGATGCTAACCACTGAGCTACCATGCTGCCAAATGATCTCGCAGTAAACATGCACTGGTTTATCACCTAAGATCACGGAGGAAGGTAACTTGCAGCACATCCAAGCTGGTATTGTGTTGGAAATTAGATGTGATCTTAATAAAGATCTGATGCGTTTACAAATATCAAGTTATAATATCACAAAGAATCATCATGCCATGGCACACGCTGAAACAAGTTTATTCATCAAATTTAATAATCAAATAACCTTGACTTTATCCTTTCACCAACAAAACCTACACCTTGAAAACACAACAATGATGTCAGGTAGAAATGCCACATGTTTAAACAGCTGCTCACTCAACCAGGATGAAGTGGCTCATTGCAGGTTGTAGTTTAGTCTTTTAGCCACAAGAGGGCGCCAAAGCGAACTGTGTTGAAAATCAAGTAATGAACCTTTTTCAAAACAAGGTTTGGAGCTTCAGAAAAGCTTAATTTGGCCAACACTATATTTAACATAAAGGTACTGTAGGTCACAGCAGGTTTACACAAAATCTTTAATAGTCTTAACTCCTTCAGGTTCTCAGGTGGACACTGTGACTTGAAAGAGTTCAGTACTTTCAGCAGCTTTTCTGTTAATGAACGGATGATCAATTGTTCTCCTGACTCTCATGAGGTCAGAAGTTATTCACGTTTGAAGAACCAAAGTATTTAATGTTTCTTAACCCACTTGACGATTCTTGTAATACCAACTTTTCTGATTTTTGTTCGTGCGTCTGTTAATACTTTGCGATGATCTTTGTCTTATTATCCAGCTGCCAAACTTCCAGCGAGCCTTGTTCCATCAGGTGATCGGACCCTGTAAACCCTGCAGTGACCCCAACCTCTCCGTGGCAGAGAAAGGTTGGCAAACATGCACTAATGTATGATGGTGTTTGAAATGACTGCCTGCTCATGTTTTGTGTGTTTTTCCCACTTCTTCCTTCTGTTCTCCTCTCCTCCAGTCCTCACCACTCCCAGTAGCTGGAGTTTGGACAGCGGTACCAGAGAGGCTCTGCCTTTCCTCGCAGCTCATGTCAGCAGCGTCATGGCTCCACCGGTTCCACCCAGGAACCTTCCTCATGGTATGAAACTGCTTCAGATGTGTCTCTGAATGTTCGGTCCTGGCGTCGGTGTTACTTAAAGATCCACTTGTGACGCATGAACAGAACTGTTGTTGTTTCTGCGTGAGTTTGTACGTCTTTGTGTTTATTTCTGATCGTTGAAGCCCCTCGTATGAACTGTGAGTCCCTCTGCAGAGTGTTTGTGTGTGAAACCTCCTTAGAAATCAAGTTTAGATTCTATAATGGGGAGTTTACATGTACTGCTCTGAGAAGCGGGTAGAAAATAACGTATGGGACAAGTCAGTTAAAGTTTTACTTGTTGAACATAAATCTGAGTTAGCACTTTTTGAAAATTAGATTTAAACACCTCTTTCCCTTCACAAACCTCTCCACCTCCTTTTTGTCCCTCGTCGCTGAGCAAAGAGGAGGGATTGGAAATTCTCTCGGTCCATCCGTGCATGTTGCGAGCATGATAAATCGAAAAATAAGTGACGTACCAACATCCAGTTCGGTGTGTGGCTACATCTAGGTGTAAGAAAAGTTCCTTTCAAAAATTGGATTGCCAAGTCAAAATTCAAGATGGCTGCCACCATAAATGTCTGTCAGTGTTGTGAACATGAATAAGCGAGGTACCAACAGAAAAATTAAGTTCCATTTTTTTTGGTGTGTCTTTGGTGTAAGAAAAATCATTATCAAAAATTAGGTTGTCGCAACAGAATCCAAAATGGCTGCCAGCATTCATGTCCGTCCACCTTGTGAGTTGCATCACTTGAAAATAAGCAACGTGCTACTTACATGTTGGTGTGTGGCTGTATCTAAGCGCAAAAAAGGACACTATCAAAAATCGGGTTATTTGGTTGCCCATCAAAATCCAAGATGGCTACCGCTTTATACACACATACATACATA